TCCTGCCCCTCCTCACTGCCCTTGGTGTCTGCAGAGTTTTCTTTCTCATACCTTGCATTCTCTGTCTGTAAACATCTACTCTTCTGGAGTTTTTTTCCCTTCTTAAACATGTTATCGCTGTGGTGTTACGACAGTGATTGGCCTGGCCGTGGCCAGCGGCGAGTCCGTCTTGAAATCTGCTGGCATTGGCTCTGTCAGACATAGGGAAGCTTCTAGCAGTTTTTCACAGAAGCCACCCCTGTAGGCCCCCCACTACCAAAACCTTGCCACACAATACAATCTTTCTGCTTAGGTAATTAAAGTCTTTATCATGAAATATAGTGGAGATGCTGATTACAAACCTTCTTCTGAGTCTTGGTAGCATATTAACCTTTAGCATCTGGTTGTTAGACTTCTCATTGTATATGGCTCCATTGCAAATGTTTTTTAAAAAGTATTCCTGTTATCATGTCTAGAACTTACACTAGTTAACATTTTCACAGGCTTTCTGAAAAGTGAGATGCTTTGGAAAATGAGTGCTGATGGAAATACATGGTGTGAATTACATGTCAGTACTTTTTAGATTCATGCCTTTGGGGCAAATGGGGAAGATCCAAATGAGTTGTATCTAAATGGTAATTTCTTGTTTCCAATCATTTTGTGTAAAGCTTGCTTTCTTCCGTGGTCTAACGGCAAATTTGTTGTTCATGGATTGTTCCTGACAGGGTGTTGCAAGGTTCTATAAATCCAGAAAAAAGCATATCATTACTACACAAACGGAGCACAAGTGTGTGTTGGATTCCTGCCGGTCCCTGGAAACAGAGGGGTTTCGGGTCACGTATCTGCCTGTTAAAAAGAATGGGCTCATAGATTTGAAGGTAGGTTGTTTACTGACAGCAAGTGAAAACAGAAGAGTTTTTACTTCAGATTGATGCTCAAGAGGACCTTGTGTCCTCTAACGCAGAAACGTTAGTCATGTTCTCTGAGTGGTTTGCTGACAGACTCCTCCTTTGCATGACGTCTTCTTGTGTGTAGTGCAATCTGTATAGCCAGCACACTTTGTCTAGATGAGGCTTACACTGTTTTGTGGGTGGTTAATTCATGAAAGGAACTAGTTCAGAGGAATGTATGAGACATAGCAAAAGCCTGTTCTGACTTGATTTCATCAGGTCAGGTGGCACGGTACATACCGGGGTCAGGCCATGCAGAGACACAATTGATCACGCTCCTCTTCCTCCAGGAATTTCATGTTCACGTGGATTAGTGCTCACACCAGGACTGTCGGAACACAAGGGGTTTGTTGGTAACGTGCTAGTTAGGGGGCTGTTGGGTAAGGTTTTCTACCAAACTGAAGGTGTGCACTGGAATCTTGCTGCTCGTGTTAATTGCAACTTCTGTCTGTTTGAATATTTCACCAGGAGTTGGAAGCTGCATTCCAGCCAGATACAAGTTTGGTCTCTGTAATGACTGTGAATAATGAAATAGGAGTGAAGCAGCCAATTGGTGACATTGGTAAGTATGCCGTGGCTTCCAGCAGCCAGCTGATGGCACTTCTGCTTCATTTTATTGTTTTCATAGGCAAGTGCTACTGATGCAAAAGATTGGGTGTTGTATAGCTGAGGAATAAATGATAATGCTGTTCCAAATAAAAACTTAATTTAAAAGGGAAATGAGGACAAAATTCCGTACTTCTACAGTGAGTATTGCAGCAGTTAGAGCCTCGTAGTACAGACCAGCTGCAGTGTTTCTAGTTTCATTCTGAACTGTATGATGGGTGAGAAAATTGCACAGAATAACTGGCCAAATTGAGTTTATGTATTATAATGGTTTATTAAGCACTTTTGGTTTTTAAGAGGAGAGAGATGCAGAATTTGGGGTGGGAGGGTGAGCACCACACTTAGACACCCCTTCCCTCCCAGTATTGCCATATACAGTCATAATAATTGGTTGGGAGGTCAAAAGCCCACTGAAGAGCCAGGTTTCTGGAACAGGAGGCAGGGGGAGGGCGAGCCAGGCTCTGAGCAGGCAGATGGAGGGACAGGGACCTCGAAGCAGTGTGGCAAAGCAGGTGAAGGGAGAGCTGGAGAACCAGCGTCACTGGAGCTGGCAGGGTGAGCGGCTGGCCCGCGTACACAGCTCGTGGATCCCACAGTGATTCCTTGATAACATTTCCGATGACAGTGACACCAACACACATGCCCCCTTCATATTCAAGATGTCCTTTCATATGATGTTTGAGTTTTTAGGCTTTGGTCTCTGCCATGGTTATAGTCATGGATCTGGAGGGTATTGTGTTCCCAGGCTGTGACAGGCATCTTACCTGTCAGGCAGCTGATATTTCTCTTACTTAGATGCTGTGGTTTTTTTCTTCTTTATTACGCTGAAAGCAGCCTTTTCCCCATGACTCTTCAAGGTTATATTTCTTCATTGATAAGTAATTGACCATCAGTGAGTTGCTTTTAGGTCAGATGACTCTCATGCTTATATTGTCAAGTCCATTACTGTTGTCCCACACTTAAATGCCAGAGACAGTTGGTACCAGGCTCTGGTTCCCACAGTAAGTTCTCATAGCACCTTGATAACAGGTCTGACAGGTCTGGGGCCCTGCAGAGTGAACCTAAGCCTCTGTTGGCATGAGGCCTGTGGCCTGATAGTACCCGTAGCAATGCCGTTCTTGCTGGGCCACAGGAGGACAACTTCTTCTGTGGAAGATAATGCTAAACTTGTAAAGGAGAGGTGTAGGATGCAGCTGTGCTAGGTACAGATGCTGTGGAAGGTGAGCAGTGGGGTTTTTTGATGGCAAAAATAAGTATTATTTAAGTTCACTGTCCATGAACATTACATTATTTTGTTCCTTAGTGTATTTTTGCTCTGGGTGCAAAAACATTGATTACAGGCTTGAGTTGAGGTGGGAGTAATTGGTGTGTGTGAGGACTAGTGACACTTCTGAGAACATTTGTGAAGCTGCATATTGCAGAACATGGGAAATAGAGGAAATGGCATAAAAATTCTTGTCAAGCATAAGTAAGTGTGGCTTGTACTGGGCTGGTGTTGAGGAGAAAAGGAATTAAACCTGTGGAAGTTTTGTCCAGGTGTGGAGTCATCCCTGTGGGGAAACTTGGATGTCCCATGCAGCCATTTGTACTCTGTAGGCGTGGGTTTGGAAACAATCTCGCTTCTTTACGGCAGAAGACTTTTTAACTTCTGAACTAACAAATTCACCACAGTCTTACCTGCTGACCGGCCTAAACCTGTGCCCAGCTAGGCATCAGCTGGAGTAGCTCCTGCGCAACTGCGGACGCTTTCCTGTAAAAGAAACATGACAGCACCCATTTCTTCCTCTGTCACCTCAACTGATCCCCGCCATAGACTGATGCTTTAGATTCATTGTTGGAATCATAAATATTAGATGTGATAACGTGGGGGTTTTTGCTTCTGCGTGTTTATTACAGGTGAGATCTGCCGCGCACGTAAGGTTTTCTTCCACACAGATGCTGCGCAAGCAATTGGTAAAATTCCTATGGATGTCGACGACATGAAAATTGATCTAATGAGCATCAGCGGCCATAAAATTTATGGGCCCAAAGGTACTGACTGAAGTGCTTTTCTAGAGAATTGTTGTTTCCATGTCTTCCTTAAGGTAACTACAAAAGGTATGATGTCAAACCTGTCTGTCATGGTGACTGTTACTTAAACTGTAGGAAACTATTCTAAGACTTCTCAGTGTTGTCAAGTGACAGGACTGGGGGTGGTGGCCATGAACTGGGAAACAGAAGGTTCAACCTGACCATGAGGAAACCCTTCTTCCCTGTGAGGGTGACAGAGCCCTGGAACAGGCTGCCCAGAGAGGTGGTGGAGTCTCCTTCCCTGGAGACTTTCCAAAGCCGCCTGGACTTGTTCCTGTGTGATCTACTCTGTGTGATCCTGCTCTGGCAGGGGGGTTGGACTGGATGATCTGTAGAGGTCCCTTCCAACCCCTACTACTCTGTGAATCTGTGAGACGTATTAGACTGACTTCGGAGAAGTTCAGACACTGCTGCCAGACTTAGAGCTGCAGTAAGTGGCTCTTCAGTGCTCCTGGATGGCTTCACCAAAGGAAGAAACAGTTTCTTATATAATGTGCAGCATTAGGAAGAGTGGCTTTTCAAGAGTTGTCTGCTTGGTGTGAAGCAGCATTGATCCTGAAATGGTTGAAATGAAATCACTGAGTTGCAGGGCAAAGTTTAGACCCAAGTGTAATTTGCAACAAGAAGATCAAAAGGTAAATGGAAAGTTTAAATACTTAGTGATTTTGGTTGTCTTACTTCCAATGGCTTATTCCCCCAAACGCTATTTGTGCATCTTCTTTACAGAATGGGGTTTAAAATCTGGCTATGGATTTTCTAGTTGACCCCCAAATAGTGAAAGCGTGGCTATTATCACAGTCACAGTCCATTTAGTTTGTAAGACTGGATGTAGAAAGACACAAATCAGGTTTGCTGTATTCTGTGTGCTATTCAGAAACAAAAGGCAAAACGGTTATTTTTTCAATATGTTGTCCTTTCTGTATGAGTTATTCTGAGAGCTGAAGACATGTCTCTTGGCAAGGACTAAGTTTTCAACCAATAACTTTGGGCAGGTGACACATGTAAGTTTTCACAACTCAACTGTGTCCAGAGGTTGCAGCCATTCTTCCTGAGGTGACAGTTGTTCATGACGTGTGCCAGGGCACAAGAAGACATGGAAATCAAGTGTCTAGCGGAGGAGACTGGAAAGTGATGTTGGCTGGCTGTCAAACCTGGCTCATCTAATCTGCCCACTGGAAACTGGTGCCACTGATGAGCCTCCCTCATGAGAAAAAAGAGGACTCTGGGACTGGTGCTCGCTTGGTAATCCATGGAAAGGAGTTATTCTGGAGCTTTCAGGTGGAAGTCAGTAAGGGAACATCATTGAATGAAATATATGTACATAAAAGCTTCAGAGCAAAGGGATGAACTTCAGCTGTGCACAGGAATTGTGAGAAGTATGGGAAGTGTTGAGTCTGTAGATGGCTGAAGCACACTGGGAGAAGCTGAACTTCTCCCATGGCTGAAGCTCTGGGAGCCTGAGTGAAGAAGAACATGAGTGGTAGCAACAAACACCATTTCCTAGAGATTGTTGTGCATCTGTATGTTTGCTACATTTTTCTCCAGTCGGTGTCCAAATATTTGTTTGCTATGGAAATAAGGAATGTTTCCAAACGTTGGAGTCCCTTTTCATAATTTCAGAATTGTGGGTGCATGCTTGTGCTGTTTTCAGTCAGGAAAGAGTTAATCTTTTCAGAGTGGCTGGTATGAGACTGTTTTGGATTTGCCCTGGCAATAGTACCGATAAGGTGTCTTTTTAGCTGGTGCTGGGCAGTGCTTGCACCAATTCAAGGCCTGTCCCAGCTTCTGATACCGCAAGCTGTGTTCCCAGCTTTCTCCCCACAAGCAGTGTGGGGACACACAGTTCAGACAGCCATCCTCAACCGACCGAAGGGTATCTCATTCCACAGCATGTCATGCTCGGTACATGAGCAGGGAGTGGGCCGGGGGCCATTACATCTGTTAGCTCCTTAACTCCTTCGCTAACTCCTGCGCTTGGCTCCTCTGTGAGGGAGTTGGTGGGTTTGTTTAGTTTTCCTGGTTGTGCTGTTGCTGATAGGGTTCGCTCGGTATCTGCTGCGGTGGCTCTCGGGCTCTCTGGTTCTGACTGTCACTACTCAGGACCTCTGTACGCATCAATTGACGGGTGGTGAGCAATTTTATCATATGTTATATTTTCTATTAT